ACTCTGTTCAGGCCACCTTGAAAATAAAGGTGTAGTTGGCACCTTGCTAGGTATAGAGACCCAGGGTAGCTATAGTGCAGCTACCAGGTATAGTACTTCAAGTTCCCTTTCCGTCAACCGCTCGATAGCCTCTACACACGCACAGCAATCCACAGCTTTGAAGTCTCATTCGTGCTTTGAACTTGTGTCGGTGTGTAAGAGGTATAGCAACATAGTATTTATACGGACCCAGGGTAGCTTCAGAGCAACATGCAAACGACTATAGGATTAAAACTGAACTAAATCAGCCACCTGCCTGACCTTAGTTTTGGGCACGTTCAAGGGCTGGATTCAATCTTGTGGGCATGCTTCTGCTTGCACCAGAGTGGTCGACTGTGGACACCTGAAGGGGACTCAGGTGAGGATTTGGAAGGTCAGTCAAGGGTCCATATGCAATATGTTTCCATAATCCAACCCTTAGGGTTTATAGGTATGTCATGGTATGTCTAGGTGCACACTCCCCGAAATAAGCATAGAAGTGGATGGCATAGCCCCAACAGGTGGTTTTCCACTTCTATGATTAGTTCAATCGGTGTACACAGTGTACCCCTTGGACTTTTTGGTATCTCCGTTGCTCACTGGCCATTTCTGAAGGTCTATCACACTTGTGGGTGCAATGATGAACCGGTGATGTCAATTATCGAGCACCCAGCAATAGTTGGTGAAAACCAGACAAGCGCAGGTTTTTGTTTTGACATGGTTACCTCTGTGTGGGCAGAACAAGACATGAAGCAGATTTGACACGTGGCCGCAAGCAGCTGCGCGAGCTCATTTGCTTGCTTCGACGCGCAGTTGTCGAGAAAGGGAAGCGCTGGCTTTCGTTTTGCAGCTTCTCAGGTGGTTCATTGTGTTCCAAGAAGGTGAAACACAACACAACACGCCATGGGTGAAACATGGTGAACCACGCCATGCGAAGCTCCGAAGCGACGTCCGAATCGACGTGATCGCCGTGATCACCGTGATGCATCGAATCGTCCCTTCAGCTGCTTTCACTTCCCAACCACCATAGGGCTAAGTGATCTTGATCTACCATAGGGCTTGAGTCCCAAAAACAAGGCCTGCAACCTAACCATCATCAAATTTGTTATAGACGTTGCTAGGCCCAAGGTCTACCCAACCGGATTCTCCCACAACATCCCACAACCCATTCCGCGCTTGGTGGCCTAAGGGGTCCAAATCCAAGGTAAGCCATGCGCGTGGTTTTGGAAGGCTGGTTCCTGCCAAAACGGTTTCCTGGTTGGAACTGGGTCGGGTTCTGGGTCGGGTTGGGTGCCTGGCTGCGTGTATGGTTGGAGTGTTTGTTTCAGACCGGGCCGAAGAGGTGCAACCAGCTTGCTTCAAGACCCACATACATTTGGTTGGAGTCATCAGATGTACACTTGGAAACGTCGAAAGTTGTTCGGTCAACATACTCCAGAAACACCCTGAAACACCTGGACTTCCGGGTTCTTATGGCGACCTAATTGTGTATAGCTGCTGGGTGCTGGCCTATGCTGGCCTCCTCGTTTTATCCTTCGCATCACTTCACCAAGCTGTGGAGGCCGCATCACTTGTGGGAGGTGCGTGCACACATGTGCACACCGTGGGACACCACAACACGGGTAGACACTGAAGATGAACTTCCGGAAGCCGGTTTTGTTATTCCGAGCTACTCTTCGTGTGTTGGAACCCGTCAATGCTCTGAGGAGCTCTTAGGTGTTCCAACACTGGAACCATTGGCATGGGATCTGGTGATCCTGAACGGAGGCCAAGGACTTATTGTTTGATAAAGGATCATTTGAGCTTGGATGGTCCCTGATGTTTTGCTATGCTGCCGGAATCAAAATGCAAGCAAACCACTCGGTTTGTTCTTGCCCCTTTTGACACAGTCTTATAGTTGTTGCTATCTTAAAAAGAAAAAACACTCTCTGAGGCAAGGAGTGCCTCCATTGCCATCTTTGCCCCAAAGACGAGTTGAAGAGTCGGAAAAAGGCGAAGTGCCTTGGACAAGACATGCGGCGGCGAGGAGGGTAACCGGCGTAACCGCGGCGAGGGCTCCACCTCCACGTGTTGGTGCGATTGCAGCAACGAGGGTGGCGGCTGCGAGGGTTGGCGGCTGTGACTTGATGTGGTGCACCTTCAATGGGGACCATGTTTTACTTCCATGTGAGTGAGAAAAAGAGTGTAATCCATGTTTAGAAGACCTTGGCTCACTTAGCATTGTGAGTTAACTTATCATTGCCCAGCCTCGCCCCGTCTGACACTGTCTCTGCCGCCCAGCCGAAGCCCGAGCCGAAGCGGTTGTTCACCCGACGCGACGCGATGCCGCGACCAGGTCGACCATTATGCGCTTGGGCCTGGAAGCTCAGATGAGAGGTTGAAGCTGGAAGATGGTTGCCAACTATGGTTGTGAGATGGTGAGGTGGTGAGATGGTGAGCAGCAGGCACTTCTTAGACAGCTTTGGTTTAGTGTCCGAGACAACTGGCTGACCTCGGGGCCGGATTTCCTGTGGTGCCATGAGGTTTGACCACTCCAAAGCCAACAGCGGGGGAGGAGCGCGTCTCATTGGCATTGAGTCCGGGACGCCCAGACTGTGCGGAGTAGTGGCAGGGGTGTTTGGAGTGGTGTGATGGCAGGTGGTTTGGAAAATGCTTCGGACAAATGCGGAAGTGGCTTGGAGATAAGAGTCCCGTTGCTGAGTAGATTGTAACATGATGATGTTTATGTGAGCAACGTCATAAACCTCTATGAAAGAATTTTGCTAGGAGTTAGGATTATGAATCTTTGTGAAAGGAAAACTGCAGTTGGGGAAAGCTTGGCGAAAGGTTTGGAAAAGGCGCTGAAATTTTGATAAATTGATTTTGTTGCGAAAGGGTTGCCGAAGGAGGTTTTCAGTACAAAGCATGGCATCTAAATCTTTGTTCTAATGCCCCAAAGATTCCGAATAACCAGGCGAAAGGTTTGCGAAGATACGGCGAAAGCAGTGGTTGCAGATTAGGAATGATTCCCTTTTGCTGATACTTTGTAAGTAGCAGAAACTCGGCGAAAGGGTTCGCGAAAGAGGTTTTTTGGGTGAAGTGGGTCGGCAAAAGCAAAACATGCAGCCGCGAAAGCGTTGCGAAGGGATTGGCAAAAGGCTCCGGTGTCTACAATCTTAATAATAGTTCGGGATGGTTTTTGACACCGCTCTGTATTTGTGTCATCTCTATTTGTGTTAGGCTAAATGGAGGATCATTCATGCGTGTGTATACTCCGTCCATCCATCCATCAACCCATCTATCAACCCATCCATCCATGCATGACATCATGTGGCTCAAGTGCGTATGGGTCGTCGATGGCATGCACCGAGTGAGTCCGCCGAGTGAGTCTCTTCCTGGGCGGCCGACGGTGGACACCAAGTGGCAGATGGTCGATTGGTCGATGGGCACCAAACCGCCGAATCCGCAGAGACGCCGTGTTCGCCGTGTTCGCCGCCGTGTTCGCCCAGGCCAGTTCTGCTTCACTGAGCAACAGGCCCAGCTCTGATGCCCAAAAGCTGCGGAGTGACTGGAGCCCCAAGCCGCCCTTCACAAATCCACGGCAACTCAGTAAGTGCAACACAGAAGCGCCTCCAAGAACGCCAGCTGGGTCATCCCCAACAAACAACATCAGAAAAGCGGAGACCCAAGGGTTAGGGACAATGGGGGGTGGGTTGGATCAACATCCGGCCTAGAATCCCGGTTTGTTGAGCGTTTGAGCTCGGCGAGGCTGAGTCAAGCAGCAAACTTGGCACGGGGATGGCCAAGGTGTAGAGGCTGTGTATAGGGTACTGTATAAGGTTTGTCCTATGACCTGTCAGTAAACACTTATAACGAGGCCTGTACTAACCAGCATCCACTGTTGCTGGTAATGGGATGGACCCCAAGCTGTGCATCATTCTCATTCAATCCTTTCCTGCACACTAAGGTGTAGGTGAGACCCCCAACCCCTTTCGGACTGCAACGAGCGACCTAAACTGGGACACTTGAGGACTGCTAGATCCCTGTGGAACAGGATCCAGTACAATGTTGGACAAATAGATCCGGTTTGTGCTTTGTAGGCTATTTGCTCCACCAAATCCGTTTGGATCAAGGTGAAGCAAGTAGCAGAAATGCACTTCAAGTGACCATCTTGCACTTCATCAAGCACCAAAAACAAACAACAATTGGGTTCTTCAAAGATCCTCATGTTCCAAAGGACCGGATCTTCCACCTATCGCAGCCCACCGACCTCCCCTGCGCTCCGCACCACCACGGCAGGTGGAGGTCGAGACATCGGAACAAGGTGCCGGACGGGCCTGGACGGACGGGCCCCAGCTGTGCGTGGTTGAAAGCAACCCCCCTATGATTGGGTGCTGTTAGTGGCCGCTGCCATCTACCGCAGCCACTGATCCGCAGCCCTTGGTGTGTTGCCTTCTAATCAACCATCCGGAGGACGTTTGTTGTCCATGGGCCCCTGATTCTTGGGGCCCAAAAACATAAGGACTGAAGGTACGCCTGGTTGGGATTCTACCTGATTCTACCTTCCACACAACTTCAGAATGATGAAAAGGGATTGTGGCCTCTTGCCCGCTCTTTTCTACGCTGTTCACCAGGCTCCACCGCTGCGGCGACGGAATCGGACAACACCACGCCGCGACAGACACAGGCCGGAGTCTGCTGGATATTCAAGCCAAGCGTTTTGAACAGATTTGAAGAGACATCTGAAGAAAGACATCAACGGGCCGGGGATAGCTGTCGACCCTTCGATTTGGGAAGTACCTCGGCCGCATGTGGCACGCGGCGGACGACCTTGGGCCCTCCGCCTCGGCAGGAGTCAACCCTGAAGAGAGCCAAAGGGGAGGGTGACTGAGCCGCTTTAGATGATCTGGTGACTTGGAGCCTGGGGTGTATCGGATGGCCCCCCACCTAGACTCTTGAAGGACTTCCCCTTCTTTCAGCAACTCTTGCTGCCGCCTGTATGAACCAGACCTTGTTTGCTGCTAGGCGAAGCCCCTGAGTGCCGGCAGCGTCCTTCACGGCACAGGCGAGCGACCCGAGCGTTTGTTCGATCATGATATCAGGTCCGAAAAGCATCCTTTTGGATATTGACATATATTGACCCAGGAAATCTCCAAATCAAATGTGGGTATGGACATCATATGTTTGAAATCATGTTAAACGTTACCTTTCTTTTTTGGGGGGGTGACCACAGTACGAGATTGCATTTTAGTTGTTTTGCTTTCCTTGGTTGTGCTGCGGCAGAATCTCCCGTTGGAACACCACAGCCTCTTTACCCAAGTCAACCTGATGACTTCACCCCACCCCCTGCCGCGCCAAAAAAAGCACCGCACTTCTGTCTCCAGCCTTACTTGCCTTCTCCGCCACAGGCGAGTGTCGTCCTTGCGCTTGGTTCTGGAAGCCAAATGGCTGCCTCAATGGTGTTGATTGCCGCCACTGCCACGACTGTCCCCCCGGTGAGGCGCGACGTGGCGCGGCGCGGCGCACACCGCGAGATGCAGCAGGGGATTGAAGAGCTGTTGCAAGTAGTGTATACAGAGAGGCCAGAGTGGTTCCTTTCTGTAGGATTGCACGGATTGCATCAGCAGTAGTGGAATAGATTCGGCACGGATTTATTGTGAGATGTTGAACACCCATTTGGTGACGATGACGTTGAATACGCTGAACAAGAATAAGTTGCTGAGTCTAATTTCATGGACAGAGAGAGAGAGAGAGGCGGAACAAAAAGCAGTCCTTTAGTCGCAGGTTCACTATACTGCCCACCCCTTCACAAACCACCATTGGGATGACTCTCCAACCTGAGGCCAGCCAACACTATGTGCTGGTTAGGTATTTGTTCATGTGATTTTCATCTCAAATGGTCCAGATGGGGCCATCAGCAGGTGTCCTTCTCTTCCTTTTCACCTCCACCAAGCCCCTGAGTCCCACCGTCCCCCCCCCCCGCTCGGACGCCAGAACTGCAGGTGAAGTCGCGCAAGAAGGGGAAGCAGGCGCGCACGCCGCTGGTCGCGGCGGCAGGGCCCCCGAACTGGGCCGATGCCACGACATGACACAGCAACCACAAGAGATTTTCATTACTTGGATATTTCATTGTTGGGGCGAAAGTATGGATGTATCAAAGTAATGTTGGTTGGGCCCCCTTTACCAGTAATGGATCATTGAGAAAAAGGGCCCCCCTTGACCAGTAACAGTGGGTACGACTCAGTCGGTGAGTCAGAGATCCAACACGACTTTTGGAGAAAGGATGAGTTGGAGATGGGCCTGCAACCTAACCATCATCCAAGGAAGAGGTACTGAGACATACCCACCCAACTTGGATGTTTTTTTGGGGTCCTGGGTTCAATGCAACGTGACTTGTCCTCGCACCAAACCTCGCATCAGCTCCACTGACCATGTTCAGTCACGTCCGTTCTCTTTTTTTGTTCCCATCGAGTCCACAACGCTGCACTGAGTAGCCCGATACTTGGAGAGCACCCCATGCAAGCTCCTCTCAGATTACATACGAATTACCGAATTAGTCGTGTTTTTCACCCTGTGTCACATGACCCACTGGTGAGTCAAGCCTGAATCGACCCATCACCACGTCCTGCGTCCGTGCCTGAAGCTGCGAGGCCATGCTGCGCCTCGGCTTGGCGACGCCGAAGGCCGGCAGCGAGGCCGGTGGGTGGCGGTGGGGAGCTTGAAGTAGTTGAGGAGTTTGTATAAATTTGAAATTAACTTAAATTAACTACTAGCGTCCTTGTTACTACTAGTAAGGCACTTGTTACTAGAAGCGATGCACTTGTTCCTAGTAGGCTACTTACGTTCCGAGACCCGGAACCTGACATGGACCAGACTGGAAGACGACTGGAACCTCGTTTTCAGGTTCCATGAGTTCCACTCTTCCAGGTGCGTGTATAGATATATGGGGATGCCAAGGTATCCTGGTGTTGATCCACCCTTTTTTTTTGCAGCTAGGCTATACATTTGAGGTGCCTGGTGATTTGTTCTTCGTTCGCTTCCAGGTCTTTAAGACATGTTATTACCATGTCTTGATAGATGTTGAGGTGGAGTTTCTGTTGGAGGAGTACTTTGGACTCTCAGATAGACCACCTTCAAGCATGCAGAGTGCAGCACGAACAGCTGCTTCTTCATCCCTAGGGCTCCAAGTAGCTCCTTAGAAGGTATTTGGACCCTCCTGGCACCCACCCCAAACACATTCTACGTTGAAGCCCTAGAGCATGGTGTGGCAGCTGTTCCTATCAGCCATCGCCTATCACCACAAGCCGACCCGAAGGCCGACCTCAAACCGCCGAAGCAGTCCATCCGACCGAAGCAGTCCATCGACCGGGTTCGGGTTCAATGGATGCACTGTGACCGACGCGTTCATGTTCATCGGATGTATGTTGTTTTCAGACGCATGAAAGCCGGCGAAACTGTGTGAGTGGAACTCAAAAGGCACCGCATCCATCACTTCATCCATCAAGAACCTCACTGCATTTGGATGCTGAAAAGGTCACAATTGGTGCTGAAGAGCAGCTTTGTCCAGAAATGCAAGTGCACTAGCTACTCCACAAATTGTACAAATGGTTCGACGGCATTTGTTTCAGAGCATTGCCATCTATGGATCCATTCACATCACATGAAGATTGTCCAACATTGCTTTACCTGAGCTGAATGGAGATTGGTTTTGGTTTCTTTCTAAAAACACATCTTTGCAGTGAAAACACTTCAAAGGCCTTTACAAGTAACAGGTGTCGTGGAGGTGTCGTGGTCGTTCTTCCTCTTCGTTTGACCTTTCAGCCTTGGCCCCGGTGAGAGGCACATTTCGAAGCCCTGCATTAAGTGGGCAGAGCAGATTTTCTGCTGAGGCTCGGCAGTTTTTATTTTTCGCGCGGGCTACCGAGGCGATTCTTGGGTGGTCAAAGGAAAAATGTTGATGTCGAGATCAAGAAAGGGATGGACATTTTTACTTGGAAGTGCTGTAGGGCTTTGCCAAGCAGTTGTCCCTTTGATTGTGTCATGGTGGAAGAAAGGGTTGCCTGCTTTGCCGGTCCTAGACTCCGCTGTGTCCACGGCGGATTGGTGCATGTATAGCAGCCAGACAGGTGTCCATTCTTGTATCTCAAAGGAGTTACGAAGGCCTTTTTGCAAGCCAGGTGCCCACAATGATGTTTCAATATATGTTCATCCGCTTATTATTTGGGGGGGTTCCAACAACCAGATCGAACCTGAGACCCCTCGTGCTGACTGGGAAGGTGCTGTGGTGGCCGGCCCAACTTGCGCCGCTCGGAGAGGAACTGCTCAGGATCGACTGTAGTAGAGAGATGCTGCAGATGTTGTGTCCACGTGCACTGCTGAAATGGTCCAGGTCAAATCATTTGAGGTGTTGAGACGCGTGAAGAAAAGGGACCTCACTGAGGTTTCAGGATGTGTTGGATATGCCGAGATGTTCTGGCTATAGCTGTTACAACAATCTGTTCTTGCCGATCTTATATAGAATTGTTGTACACACGGTTGCGTTGTAGTTTCTTCTCCCTGCACCGACGAATCATCACTGGTTTCAGGTACAGCCTTCATGAAATATGTTTGACTAATTTGACTCCCGATTTGGGTCTTCCCAAAGTCGACTCAGCAGGTGAACTTGAATCCACCGAATCCATTTCGACTCGAAGAGAGGAACCAAACTGGTGAACCAGGAGTCACAAGACGGGGTGGTGTTTAGTCCCTAAGTGAGTGGATGTTCTGGGCACCCCTACCCTCCATTAAGCACCCCTTTGTGACTGCTGGAATATAGATTTACAAAGCCATAGCAAACTCAACACCTACCACTCTTGGCACACTGGCGAGAAACATGCAACACTTGGAGGGTCTTCACAAATAGGTCCCCACTTCCTGGGCCTGCCAGTTCCGGGCTAGCTTCCGAGGATCTACTCGTGGAGAGGCCGAAAAAACACGTGTTTTGCCTTTGAAAAGTCCCTTGGCCTCGGCGCTTCGACCGGCATGGGTGGCGTGCTTTTTTCCACGCCGGGGTCGTCCAACGGAGTTTGGATGGGGGTGTGGGTTGGGAGAAACATCGATGCTTCGTCCGAGCCTTTTGAGATGGAACAGGGAGTTGGGGCAAGTCTTGGGGGACGCATTTTGGGTGCCAGACCTTGCACCAAGAGCCAACAGGTGTCATTTCTTTCCCGGAAACTTCTTCACACAAAGACAACACGCCCAAGAAGGGAAAAACAACAACACGATTGCCGGAGCCGTTTCGCCTGCTATTTCGTGACTGCGTTGCTTGCCAATCGATTTCATGTGTTGAAAGGTGGGAGAAACCTAGTTTTGGCTGAACTGCAATGGATTAAGATTGGTAACAGGCCCAGCTGATTATGCATATGAGTCTCATATGAATTGAATTGAGCATAATTGAGCATCAGTTCTGGAGCACCACCAGTAACAAGAGAGGAAAGTAGTCCTCCTGGGTGTCATTGCCGATGTCTATACCTTGTTTGTTTTTAGAGAGGGTACAGTGGTACCGTATTTTTCTTCAAGCCAACCTGTCCCAAACCAGACCGCTCAATAAAAACCCTTCCACTACTCCGCCTACTCCGCTGCAGATGAATCTGGAACCCCAAAACCACTGGGCTGTAGTAAACCATTGGAGTACCTTTCTGAAGTTTCTGCCGTTTCAGGTAGGCTACCTGCGGCGCATTGGGGGTCCCTGGCCTGAGCCAAGAGGAAATGGCACCTGCGGCCAGCCTTGCACACGCCAAGCTGCCTGGATCCGCAGTCGTCCCCCTCATTGCGGTGCCGGTGGGCACTTTCAGGGCCTGGGAGCTCGGTCGGATCCATCCAGTCAAAGCGATCCGTAGGCACGTCAGTGGGTTGACATGTTTTTTGGGCATCAGTGGCTTTTGGTGCGTGTTGAGCCATCTATAGTGGGGCATTGTTTGGGGACGGTTTTAGTTTGATAGGGATGGTCTCCATCAACGGTGGCCTAGAGTCATTTGGAGGACAAAGGCTTGCAATTCGAGAGCACTCCGATCTGTCGGCAGAGCCACAATGATGAAGTAAGATGTCATGTTTACCTTGGCTGCTGTCAACTGGTGACCTGGTGATTGGTTCGTCAACTGATAAACCGACCGAGCTTTTGTGCCCTTCAAATCGACACTTATTTTCGATCCTAACTGACACTGATTGGTTGGCCTGGCCCGGTCTGTTGGAGCTTGCGCCGAAGAAAGACTTGAAGCTTGGCATCTGAACCTCTGGAGAGCTAGGGAGGAGTGCAGACAGCCTTCTTGTACCGTAGGTGTCGCTCCCGAAGTATGCGTGCTTTGAGGGAGGCCGACCCAGCTTACGCAACTGGGGAAGTGTGCAGGACAAACTCGGATGTTACCCTCCATATAACAAACATGGCAGTGGAATATGGCCCCTTGGAAGACCGTTTTCCTCTACGAACAGGTGGTGAACTCCACTTCCGTGAATATTTCAGGGAGTGTGTGTTTTTTTGGGGGGGGCAATTGTGATAGCAGAATAACCCCCCTACTGCTCCCAAACATGGTGATTGATGACAAGCGACGGTGCGCTCTGTCTTGTTCTCAGAATGTCCAAAGCTCAAATTTCAAAGCTGTGGCATCTTGAGAAAAGAAAAACGACAATTGTCATTGTTTAACAATAGCCAATCTTAACTGCAGAAAAGGACCGAAAACCCACTTGTTGCTGCAACTGCTTGAGTTTGGACCGTTACATGGGCTGGGCCGTGAATGTTTTAGTCCGGAGAACTGTGGCATGCTCGCCCAAGACGTGCATTTTCCGCCATGTGTTTGGAGCACCTCCGGTTGATCAGCTTGTGTCGTGGAGAGCATCGATGGCGCTGGGTCTAGAGATCGGAGACCTTGTGACAGACTCAGAGATCGGCAGCTTGGGCCCTTAGCCAACCACTGGGTTTGGTGACGATCCTGTGTGTCAGGCCTTCCAACCATCATTATAAGCTAGGTCTATAGTGTAGGGTTTTGTTTGATATATATATATATATGGTATAGCGATGGTTAAGGGAGGAAAGGAGAGAAAGTTGAGATCACGATGTGGACTGATTCATGGAAAGCACCGAGTGGGGGCTGATTCATGGCCCCAACAACTGCCCTAGCTTGAGACGTTTACTTCATGTGGGACGGAGGGCTTGCCATCTGGGTCATGGCACGTGGCGTCTCAAGCGAAATCGTACGCGTCTCAAGGGCGACAAAGCCTGGACCCAGCGAAGCCCAGATGATGTGAACATCCGCAAGTTTCGTTCTTCGCGAATCGAAAAGGAAACGAAGCCGCTGCTGGAGGCTGGACCACCGGGTCAACCACCACCGGGTCAGCCGAGCGTCCGAAGGCTTAGCGACACAAGCTGAATGTCCGAGGGGGCCAAGGACCGAAGGAATGGCCCTTCATCTCCCTGGAACGTTCCCATGATGAACATGGAAGTGGAGTTCACCACCTAGTTGTAGAGGACAAGGCACAATACATCATCATACTTCCGTGATCTTTGGGGGGGAGTGTAATTGTTCCTTTCGCGTTGCGACTCCTTGTGCCAGAAAGAACGCAACTCCATTCGCAGAAGCAGGCAGAAACATTCCGCGTCGTCCTGTTCACATTTTTCGGGGGACAAAGCCTTAAGATGCCTCCCTTTCTGAGCAGGGACATCAAGTGCAAGCAAAACGCTGCACCCTAAAGCTGTGGCTTTTGGATGACCATCTTCCCCCCCAAAGGAGGTGTCCAATCTCCCGACTCAGACTGATCAGTCCTGCGTCCTGCATCCTTCTGGGCCCGAACAGCACCGACCCTTGTGCCGGTCACCCGCGGCGCGTCACCCGCGGCGCGCGCGATCGCGGGATGGCGACGGACGCCGCCAACTGGACGGAGCACACCCACAGTGATGGGCGGCGCTACTACTATAACAAGGCCAGGACCAAGCCGAGAGCCGCTAAGGGTCGCGAATGCTCCAAAATGTAGAAGATTTTGGCGCTTTAGGCGTGTAATATCTGTGGAAATGGTGTGCGTTTTTAGAGGCCATGCCATGCAAATCTACGGTTAGTCAACCAGGTTTGCAAGCCTGCGTCCGTGCGCTCACCCTTTGTGATTCGCGATGCGTCATGCGACCTGGGGGTGTGGCTTTATTAGCCCGCCACCCCTTTTCGTCGCCGAGACTGCATGACTCAAATGTGTTTTGCAGTACAGTGTAGTAGGTGCGATGTTCTCGTTGGTTTTTTTTCAGCCTGATTTTACGGTTGAGGGTGAAGTATGCATGACATGAACCAAGAACCAAGGGCTAAACAGCCCAGTATTTGCGAAAGGAAAAAGGCCAACGAGAAAATTCGAGAAATATTTTCGAGTCATTTGCCAACCAAATAGCACATCATATATATATATTGTACAATATATCTTATATCATTATAATGATCTATACTGAAGCCCAAGCGTGGACAAGCCGGGCTCAAACACAAGAACTCGGGTGTTTGACCCGAGCTGTTCTTCGTGCACATTTGCGTGTCGTTGACGCGTCGTGGTTTCGCGCCGCCGTGTGGAACCACGTGAGGTGACCAAGGCTTCGAGCTGGGACAAGCCGGAGTGCTTGAAGAACGCCGACGAGCGCATGAACACCACCGTTTGGAAGGAGCCCCTTTTCTACTCCTCTCGGAAGAAGATGCACAGATGGTTTGTTTGGGACGGTTTGTTTGCGGTTTCTGGGGGGTGGTTCGGCGCCTGTGGCGAAGCGGGGTTTGGTGGGATTTGAGCAACATCTTTGGGCCCAGCGCCAAGGTGGGGGGTTGAATCAGTTTGACCAAGTTTGACTCCTTTGGTTTGCTGGCATGTTCATGCCTGATTCAGTATATAAGTCACCCATGGGTTTGGGGTGAAAGACATGATTTATACGGGCAAGTGAGGTTGAGGTCCATGGTTGAACTACCACTGGTGCTCCTTGGACACCATCCATGGCAGTTCGAAGACATCAATTCGTTCCGAACTCCGGACTTCGGTCCGGTCTGAACTAGCTTCTTGTTACTACTAGTAACAAGTGCCACGCTAGTAGTAACAAGTGCCTTACTAGTAGTAACAGAAAATAACAAAAAGCTATTAAATAGCTTCTTGTTACTACTAGTAAGGCACCTGTTCCTTGCAGCGTTTTGAAACATGTCACTCACTGAATTTGGTGGACAGACCTTACCCAGAGCACGACTTGGAGTTTGCCGCCTGCAGAGGGGAAACAAACACGATGCACCCGAAATGGTCTCAACATCCGTTTGGACTTCCAACTCTCACCAAATGGTTAGACTGACAGCCGACCCCCTCACATGAGTCATGAGCCAATGAGTCATCGTGGGGCCAGGCTTTCGAGAGACCTTGATACATGTTCCAGGTTTGCAATTTGAGCCCCTCAGCTTAGCAGAGATTGGTGAGAACGATCAATCATCTCATCATCTCTCATGCTTCTTTTAACTTTAGCCAACCAGGCTTCGAGAGGGGCTGCACTGTACTGAACGTGAACCAGCCTTTGAGAAATGCTCTCCCACTATAAGCTGACCCTTGGCCCAGATGTGATTTGCTTCCAAGGTACAAGACGGCCGATGGCCGTGACTACTACTACAATCCCATCACCAAGCAGAGTGTTGCTGGGTGAAGACTTCGGGATCTGTGAAACTGCTGTTGCACCCCATTTGTGAAACCCATGCACTGGATGTGGGGGGATGTGGGCACTTGGTCCCAAAACAGATGAAGGGACAGTGATTGGCGTTGGATGTGGGGGCAACCTGCAGTGGGAGTGCCCCATAGCCCAGAAGTGTGGATTCTACGTTGCTTCTACACCATGCAGGGCCTTCAGGCCTTTCTTTCAACCTTCCATTCTGCGGAGTGACCGGGATTGACTCACTCGGAATTGGCAGTTGCTGTGAGTGAGACTTCTGCAGGTCAAGTACACCTGGTGCCGGCATTGCAGCATGCCAGATGCTCCAAACAGCCATTGAACACCTGGTGCCATTGACGGTGAAGCCCTTCAAGTCGCCAGACCCCTCCAAATATAAGGGTCAACCAAACCCTTTTCCAGAGGTTCCAGAAAGGTTTGGCATGACAGACAAGTGAGGTTTGCACTGTTTGCTGGTGTGTTTATGAGTTAGCCACCCCCCAGCCGAGGTCTGGGGGTCGTTCATGAAAGAAGATCGGAGCTCACCGGCGTTTGGGTCTCGTGTCCGGCCGGCCTGCACAGGTTTGGACCATGCCGGTGGAGCTGAAGCGGCTGAGGGGCTTGGCCAAGGAGGATGAGAGCGATGATGCACCTGGGGCTGAGGGATGAGCGATGAGCATCCAGAGAAGGGACGACGGAGCAAGAAGGGATGACTGACCCACTTTCCAAGACTGGTGAGGAGAGGTGCCACGTTGGCCCAAGACGACCATGTTCACCACAGCACCTCCCGAAGACATGTGTCGAAAAGAGATGCATCTCGAAAAAATACCGACGAAGAAGCAAATGCATGGAAGAGCGCCAATGAATTATGTCATGGGGTGAATCACAAGGGAACCTCACCTTGAACATTCCAAGACAGAAACATGGGCATGGGCCCAAAACCTTGGTCGGTAGTGCAGGTCCACAATTTGCACTGGTGAGGTGTTTGAAGAGTAGTGCAGGCCGTGCCGGCCACTATGGTGTTCGGTGTTGTGTGTGGTGCGGATTCTTGAACTCCTGAACTTGGCCTGCTGCAAGACTTCAGTTGACTAAGACTCAGTTTCACTTGCACTGGAGGTTTCAGAGCATTTGCTGAGGGAGGGATACTCCCGCCATCAGCTTATCACTTGTCACTTAAGGAGAAGGAAAAGGAGAAG